TCCAACACAGGAAGGGTATTGGTTCAGGCGGCCCCAGGCTGATTCCCCTTTTCCTCCTCAGTCAGTTCATTACCAGTCCAGTGAATCCCTGAGGGACATGCGGTGGAGAGGGCTCGGGATCCGGAGTCCAGAGAGCGGTGCCTCATGCCAGCTGCATCCTCCACAGCGGTGACAACTCAGAAATGCAGTTTAACCCCGAGCTCTGTGTTGGGTGGTTGGCATGGAGATGAGTACCACTCGCTCATCAGCTGGACTGTGGGGGCTCAGTGGGAGGTCCCTGCAAGGGCTTGGGAACTCGTCAGCCATCCTCCACATGTTGGGGGTGGTTCTTAAGACTGAGCCTGAAGCTCCAACCAAGCCCCACTGGCTTGGCTCTGCCCTGCTATCACCCGATGCAGCTTTTTCTGGGACATGAAGAGGCCACTTGGCAGTCAGCGTGAAGTGCACAGAGACAAGAGTGCTCAGCTTTGACTGCTCTTCTCTTTTCAGTGATCAAAGGCAGGGCCCTCCCTGCAGATTTTAAACCTCTGGAACAGTTCCACCCATCCCAACTAGAGAGCCCATCAGAGGGCCGGGACGTGCCGGCGCTTGCAGGGAGTGGGTTCCTCCCTCCCATTTAGCCTGTAGCCTCATCCAGAAGACCCACTGTTTTAGGGTACACCGGTGCTGTTGCAACCAGCAGCTGGAATTTAAGTACACTCTGCTGAAGTCAGCGAGCACCTGCTGATCCCACTTTTCCTTTAAGAAAGTTCGTTTATGGCCCCAAGATGTAGCATAATGCTGTGGTGAAGAAAACAGGCTCTGGGGCCCTTGCCAGGGTTCAAACACCTTTCCTTTCCATCTCTAAGCCCCAGTTTACTTATCTGTAACACGGTATCAATGCCTCATAGGGTGGGGGGGCGGGGATTAAATACAAGAGTGTGTGGAAAACTGACGTTCACTGCTAGTGTGTGTATGTGTATGCACATGTGCATGCATGCTGGCAAGAAAATATTCATTTGTCCGCTTGTTTGTTCATTCAACCAACACCACCTATGTGCTGGCTCCGTGCTGTGCAGTGGAAACAAAAAGATGCATGAAAGCTTTGTCCTCAGAGAACCCACAAGGTTTGGGCCAAGGCAGACAAGCTGAGAAGCCACCAGGTGGTGGGGTAACAGGTGTTTTGCAGGGGCTGTGTAGATGACAGGGTACTGCAGCTAATCCAACACTGGGCACAGGGGGGCTGTAGGGAGGGACTCCTTGGAAGGGGGGCCGAGTCTAACCCAGAAGTGAACCCAGAGAGGAAGGGTGTCCCAGGCCGACAATGGAACAAAAAGGAGAGTGCCTGATGGGTTGAAGGAACCAGACAGAGCATGATGAGGAGGGTGCACAGAGTATGGCTGCTGGAGCACCCTGGACCCCAACCATCAAAGACCGTCTAGGCAGGTGACACCAGAGACAATCTCCAAATAAAGCACAAACTACAGACGTGAGATTTAACATACTAGCTGGTGATAATACTGTACATTTGTCTCTAACAGTCCCCCGAATTCCTTCCTTCCTCTGGGTCTAGACTTTTACAAACTGTTCTGCAAACTCTGAGCATCTAGGTTCCGGAGGCCACATGGGTGCTGTCCTCCCCTGCACAGCGACAGCATGGAGAGGAGAAGACACAGTGCTAGACACAGAGGAGGGATTGGGGGGAGGTGTGTCCCGAGAGATGAATCAGCAAAAGGTTTTGAAGAATAAGGTTGGCGAAGAGAGGCTTTAGAGCCAGGGCACAAAGAAAAAGCTATCTGGTGGCACACAGCTAAGATGCATAAATGTGTCTTGGGTTTGCAGACTCCCACCCGGGAAGATAACTGGAGTTTAACAAACCCAAGCATTTGTTTGCCTGCTGCCTGCTTTGTTAAACAGTTATGTGTCAGTCACTACAAGATGGGGACTTCTGGGCCGTGCAAGAAGTAACAGCTTCTCTACACTTATAGAACAACCCTCTGGGCTTTCTCTCTCTCTTCTTCTTATAAGAGTTGCAAACCCAGTGATGGCCAACTTTGTTGGAAGGAGACCTTCAAACCCAGTGGCCCAGTAGGAGGGTGCTTGGGAAGTGCTTGGGAACTCATTTTTGCGCCCTGAAAAGTAAGCCTGAAGTCCTAGATCACCAGAGCTTGGTTTTCTCATCTGTAAACAGGAATAAGTAGTAATGTTAACCAGACAGCATATGTTAAAGCCGAGGGGAACTAAGCAACACGGCCAAGGCTGCAAGATTAGGAAGTGGCTGAGCTGGGTCGGAACCGCCCCACTGCTCTCCCAGGAGCGCGGCAGACTGTCTCGGTGCCGGGAGGTGGATGGAACAGCCGCTCTTGGCACACAACACCAGCTCTTTTCAGGGCCCTCCCCCATCTGTGGAGCATGGCAGGGGACACGGACTGATGGCCAAAGAAGAAACCCATTTGCAAACTCAAATGAAACAGATGAGAAACTGCAACATATATACTTTTAGAGCAATGTGAATTCCTCCATACACAACACTGCTCAGCTTATCTGTGCCCGCAAATGTACAGCACACTGCCTCGAACCCACGGGGGCCTTCAAGGCTGCAAACCGGAGAGTTTGGGAGCACCAGGTGACACTGCATGGTGCTTTTGGTGGACATGTCCATGTGGCAAAAACATGGTCTCATGTGGAAAAATGAAGGATGTAAACCACCATGCCCCCCGCCCCAATTCATGTGCTGGGGCATGTAAAATATGTTTATTAGCATAATAGCTCACGTCACTGGATTCTGGCTCCTGGGGATTCTTCTAGACACTTTGCCTTCCTTTCCTGCTGGGACATTCTTTAGGTCCATTAATAGACCTACTGCCTCTGGGAATTGCTAATTCTAATTAAAAATCATTAATTATTAGAAGTAGAGCTCATGTATCTACACAGGCCACAACTTACGATCATTATGGCCTATAGCGAGTCGCAGACCTGTCTACCCAACTGTGCACTTGTCAGCTCAGCCACGGCACATCCAGCACTCACTCTGCCATTGCTCCAGTTCTGCCTATTGTAGGCCCCCCACCCCCCACAGCTACAACACAAGCTCCAGATATAAGCTGCCTGGGTTACCACTGTGTCCCTAGAGCCTAGCAGGATCTCAGTACATGCTGAACAAATGAGTTAATGAGCAACTGAATCCTCACCCAAGAATTCCGAAGATGTGACATCCCTCAGCCTCTGACCCAAGACGTGGGCTCCCCCCACCCCACCCCACCCGTCTCCGATACGTCCATAACCTCCCTTCTATGTTGGGCTGCCTTTGCCGGCTTGCTGGTCTGTCCCTACACTGGATGGTGAGTACTTTGATGGCACGATTATATCTTTTCATCTTCGCATCCTCAGAGGTGAAAGATAAGAGATTAGTGGTGCAGCTCTTGCAATCACCCTGGGACAAAGAAAGACCCAGAAAGGCTGCCACTGCTCTGGTCCAGGGTGTCCCCCGCAAGGCCCACTTGGGCCAGCCCCATTTACTCCTGCAGTTCTGGTTATTGGGGCCCCTGTGCGGCTGCCTGTGCTTTAGGAGAGCAGTAAGCATTGCCCTCTGCCTGGCTGTTTGGATGTGTGTGTGGGGGGAGGGGGCTCTTCTATTAAGCACAAACTCCTGGGGGTCCAAGCCAAGGCAACCCCCAAGGACACAAAGTGGGTGGCCTTCTTCTACCCGTGCATTCTGGAACTTCGAGAGACGATTCTAAGACCTTCCATGGACAGTTCCAAATTTCTACCTTGTTAGAAACGATCGCAGAACATGGGTTCAGACATGACCTTAGATTATTGTCTCTTCTGGAAATTCACACAAGTTCTTCCGATCCCTCCCCGACGAACAGGCACTATCAGCAGAGAGTCTTTAATTCTCATGGCCCCACGGTGACTTCGGAACGCTATTACAACTGCACACTTGTGGAAATGAAGCGTGGAGAAGGTAATGATCCCAGTTCTAGTGAAGAGCGGAGTGGGGACCGCAGCACAGGGGCTGTGCTGAGCTCCTCGTCATACAAAAGCTCGGTGAAGAGACCTTCACTCGGTTTCTCAACTGGCCCATGGCAGCCTGGCACCGCTTACAGGTGCACCCAGATCCTGCCAAGAGGTGACCATCCACCTTCCTCCGCTCCAGCCTCACCGAGGAGGAGGGCCTCGGCCTTCCCACTGCCCACTTCAAAAACCCAGCAGGTTCTTCGGGGGACCCAAGGGAGGGGCCCTGGGACTTTAGGAGCGTGGCACAGACCTTGCAGCGGGGAGGGGGCTGGGACAGACACCCAGTGGCTCGAGGCCACACTAGCACTGTCTGCCTTGAAGACGCTTTGCCAAATGTGGAAACAACCCCGGGGGCCGGGGTGGGGAGCATGCTCCTCATTCTCATTCCGGATCACTCCATTTTGTCAGAAAAGATGCGTTCCGTTTCTTTTAAAAACGACTGGGAGAGCTTGGCCACCTTCTCAAGGGTGACTTTGTTATTAAGACGGAGTTCACACTTCCTTCCGGAGAAACACGTCTTGCAGAGAGGGGATGGAAGGACAGAGCGATTCAAAGGAAATGCGCTTTTGGATGTGGCTTTTGAAGAATGCCCAAATCAGGCAAAGGAAGCCCTGTTTCCCAAGTCCTTTCCTGCTACAACGCACTTGTACGTGGTGGTCGAAAAGAGTCCAAGGGCTCCATTCGATGTCTAGAACCTTCCTTCTATAGACACGTCTACTTATTATGCATCAGGAGCTATGGTAAGCACCAGGGTCTCTGCTGGGGAATTGGTCTGCTGCCCCTTCGCTGAGTGGTAGCTACTCTGCTTTTATTTTGAGCATCAGGTCATTTCCTTCTCAGGGCTAACATTAAGCATCGGGCCAGAGAAGGCAAACAATGCAAAACAAGTGTGGCTGTACCTCAAGCCCCCAGCAGCCACTCCTGAGTATCCCCCATTCCCCCACCGGCCTAGACGAGCCCCCCTCCATTGCTCTGGCCGCCCACATTCGAGGCACCTTTACCTTTCAGCTGCTGGAAGCAGGAGGCGCTGCTGTCCGGCTCCAGGGGGTGCCTCAGGACCCCGTTGCTGGGCTTGGGTCTCTCATATTCTCTTTCGGGGAGCATGGCCTGCTCGCTCTCCATGGCAGGGTCTGAGTGTGGGGGCAGAGACTGTGGAAACCCGAACATCAAAAGGGAAGAGAAGAAGAGTAAGGCACCGCAGAGCAGAAAGCCGCCCCACCAGGCTCCGATCCAGCGGGGGTCGTCCGGAGTGATGTCCAGGTTACCTGCAATGGGAAAAAGCAGTCAGGAGGAGAGGATGCAGCCGGGCTGGGATAGGGCTGAGGGTCTGAGTCAGGTGCACAGACAGGGGAGGGCTCTGGACACAGCCTCGGGGTGGGAGAGAAGCAGGGGAGGGAGGAGGGGGGCTGGACGCTTCAAAAGGCAGCCTTTTGTTCACATCAGTGCTCCTGTTTCTCCCGAAGCCGAAGGCTGATTGCTTTCCCTCCTTAATTTCCTTGTCTACCCTGTGTTCGTATCAGTCTAAACAAAAACAGCGAGAAGCCAGACACCCTCGGAATTAAGGCTGGAACTGATGGGCTCGGTAGAGCTTACTGGGTGCGCTGATGAAGCACAAGGTCTATTTTTTACTGTGGGGTTACTCACTTGCACGCCTCAAAAAGCAGCTACTTGGAGATCCCATTCAATACCCCACTCCCGGTCTCAAATCAGGTTCACAGATTGTAAGGGACGGCATAGAACGAAGTCAAGAGCCAGGATACCTGGAGTGCAATCCTGCCACTTCTCACTGTGGGACCCCAGCCTAGTGATCCGAACTCTCTGTGCCTCATTGACTGACCTGTAGGATCGTGAGGACGGTGACAGCACCTTCTGGAGTTTGGGGGGAGGATCAAATGAGCCACACCAGATATAACGTGCTCAGAATAGTCCCTGGCATATGCTTGAGCATTTAAACACTGTTAGCTTCGTATTTACAGCTAGGATCCTGTTTCCAAACTGCTAGTGGGTAGGTTAATTCAAATCTTGGTGGTGGCCTGTGGTTTGGGGCAGTCCTTTATTAGAAAGCTTTGCAGCCAACTTAATGCTTAAAGGCAGCGTGCATGTGGTTTGGCTGTCTTGTGCTATTATTTCTTTGATTTGCCAGCTGAAGTCATGAAGACATAAACTACAGCCTACCCCTTGGTAGATTTTTTTTTTTTTTTAATCTTTCTCTACAACTGCCCTTCATAGAGCGCTCTCAGATTAGCTGCTTAGAAATGTCTCCTTGATGATAATCCCATTCCTCTGGACCACAGAAGGACATTCTTGGACATGGGGGCAGGGCATATGAGCTAAGAACTAACAGGACTACAGCCCTGGACCAGATGGATGGACTGGCTTGGGAAAAGAAATGACTACAGACACCAGACCAGCACTTCACCATTTGTAAAATGTTCCCCCTGAAGACTCTTCAGCTACCACTAATAAAGAGCCCAGCCATCATTCACTGAGGGCTTACTCTGCACTGGGCATTATGCAGAGTATATTCTTAACTGTTCTGGTCAGCCCTCCCCACAACCCTACAAGGTAGAGTCTTTTATTATCCCAATCTTATATAGATAGAAAAATCGAGGCTTAGGAAATATAGCTACTGGGGCGCCTGGGTGGCTCAGTCGGTTAGGCATCTGCCTTCGGCTCAGGTCATGATCCCAGGGTCCTGGGATTGAGTCCCGTGTTGGGCTCCTTGCTCAGCAGGGAGCCTGCTTCTCCCTCTGCCTTTGCCACTTCCCCTGCTCATTCTCTCTCTCCCCCTCAAATAAATAAAATCTTTGAAAAAAAAGAAAGTGTAGATACCTTGCCCAAGTTCACAGAGTTGAAGACTGGAAGACGGGCATTCAGATGCCAAGGGCCAGGCTCCTTATCACTTTACTACACTGCCCTTCTGGACCGTCTAGGCTTTGTTCTGGGCTCCCTGGGTGGATGATTAACTCCTCTGCTTTGTGCAATGGGCCTAAGATCACCAACTTTGCCGCTGGTCTTTGGAACATCGGTGGTATCTCTCCTGGAGGCATTGATATCCACCCAACAGCAATATCTAGGGCACTACAATGAACCAGATGCTTCTGCACAGCTGCACGTCAGAGAAGAAAAGAGTATAAGCTTTGGCAGGCAGGGGGTTGAATCCTGGCTCTGCTGCTTAGTAGCATGTGGTGCTAGGCAAGCTACTTACCCTCTCTGAGCCTTACTTTGATCACTTGCAAAATAAAGGTGACATCCACTGAGACTGCGTGCAAGGATGAGAGGTAACGAGCAAGAATCACTTGACACATAGGTTCTTTGTACATGATAGCTCTTCTATCTACTTGTAGGTATATATTTACATGAATGCAGATTTCAAGATATACGGGTTTATTTATTTTTTTTTGAGTACGGGAAAGCTTGAAAAAAGCATGAGAAAACCCAAGGTGATCTTGAAAGCATCTTTATGCAAACACAAGAAGAGAAAAGGAAGTCAGATGGCCTCGGGTAGCTGAGCAGGAATGTTTTCTCTAGTCACTATGTTTCTTCACCTGCTGCCAAGCAATGAATGAAAACAAAAGACGTAAACAGGAGCTGTGGTATCTCCCTCCATTGTCGATGGGCTGCATAAAGGGGGAACTGAAAGCTGGCAGATGTGAGCCAGTAGAAAGAGAGAGAAATCCTGGCAGTTGTTTGGGGAAACAAAATTAGTAGCACGTAGAGAGTCATATTTTAGTTAGGAGGTTAGTGACTCTCTTCTATGTGTGAGGAAACATCCCAGGGAGAGGGGTTGCAGTGGGGAGAGACGGATGTTTATGTGAACATGTCAACCTTCGCTCCCCGTAGGTACGTGCCTGCATGTGGAAAGCCAACGTTGGCTCATAATTTGTAAGACAGGGAAGAACACATGACCTGCGTCAGACCAAAGCCTGCCTGTGGTGCAGGCAAGGAGAGGGAGAGGGATCTGTAGCAAGATGTGGTGGGGGCAGGGGGAGGGGAGTCAGGATTTTAGAGATCTAGGAAAATCACATTTGACCATTTTGGAAGTATCGATTTTTTTTTTTCCTCCTCTCCATTGCAACCATCCAGAGCACTGTGGCAGGGAGAGAAATAATGTTCTGAGGAGAAACCACTCAGCTTTGGAGCATGCTGCCCTCAGGTCAGGGCTGGCTTGGGGGTGGAGTTTTAGTCCTGATTTTGGCACTTTTCAGGAAGATGGCTAATTCTTGAACCCAGGCTGAGAAGTTTTCTTTTCTAAGGCACCTTAGTGATGGCGAAAATCCCTCCCCACCTGCCTGGCAATCATCACTGTCAGCAGGTATGTTCTAGTTCTATGTTGATGTTGAGGGAAAGTTCTCTATGTTGGCCAGCAAAGAACAGTGCAGTAGAGGTTACTGATGTCTTCATTTGGATCTCCTCTTGGGAGAACAAGGATTACCCCTCCCTCACCGTGAACTTAGGTATAGCCACATGCCACAGAACTCTGCCACTGAAGTGTGAGTGGTCAGATACGCGTCACTTCTGTGTAGAGCCACGTATGAGCTGGTGCCTGACTCGTCATGCTCTTTTGCCCTGGCTGATCATGGAAGCACGTGAAATCCTCCTAAAATGGTCCCTGAGAGACTACGATGAACAAAATGTCACTGCTGACCTGCGCTGTGTGTATAAGCAACGAACAAACCTTTGGTTATTATTCTCAGCAACTAAGATTTTGGAGGTGTTTGTTACTGCAGCAGAACTGAGCCTACCCTGACTACTACCAAAGGCTTGGGAAAAAAAAAGTCATGCTCTTCAAGAACAGCGTTCCTGGGCAGGCTTGGAATCGTGAAAGCATTGTTTCAGGTACAGGTGGGGAACGGGGTGAAAACCTCATTACTTTTCTTTTGACGTGGCTCTAGGTAGTATCTTGATCTTAAAAAATTACTGCAGTTTCAGCTTTTTCGTGAAGACTGTGGTCAGTGAGATGCCCAGAACAAAACTGAGAAGTACCCGCGTGTCTCATTTACTTAGATGTACCTGTCAATCAAACCGCAACCATGAAGGACAAAAACACATTGAAAAGAACAGGGTGGGGACAGGATCCCAGGCTGAGGGAGCAACACTCACAAAGTCATGGCACCCCTCAGTCAGGGGACTCCGATGGGCTGGCTAACACCAACCAGGCACTCATCAGCCCCGTCATTCCAGGTGTGGAGGAAGTAGAGCTAAGCATCACCATGATGGAGATGTCTGGCTGCCATAAGACAGGCACAGTCCGCCCTGCCTTTGCAGAGCTGTCTGTATAGGCTTGAAGGATTTCTGCTTTACAAGATCCATTTTTCTAACCCTGCCATGTCTCGGAATCCAACATTCGGAGTGTTTTTGTGGTTTTGTTGGGTAAGCTGAGCAAGCTTTTGGCAATGTTTGCTTCTTCTGTTTAAGGTCATGTAAACACAGGGGGTTGAGATTTTTCTCCCATTTCTGAGGACTGCTACCATCATAGGTAGGAAAGAAAAAAATGATTGGGAACAGAGTCAAACCAGTTTAAAACTAACCGAACAACCAACCCACCCAGGAGGATGTCCAGGACTGCGAGAAGGGGCCAATCAAAGCAAATTGGGGACATTTACTTGTGACTCCCAGGCCACACTAATGTGTAAGTGGTACCATGGGCTCTCTGGGCATTTTTTTTTTTTTCAGTCCATTTACCTATCTAACTTATTTTGTGAAACTTTTGCTGTGGGACTCAGGCATTCCAAGAGTATCATTAAGTTACAGACCAAATTAGAAACTGGAGACAGGGAGGGGCTCAGGGTAGAGGGCAGCATGGAACATTCAGGATCCTGGCCATGGAGCTAATTTAGTCTAACATAAAGGACTCTGACGAAGCCCGCGGCTAGCCCTAGGGCAGGAAGCTCTCGGCTGGCTGACCTTTTTCAGGAAGCAAACATACGGACCCATCTTATTCCAGGGGCAAACACCACGCAGCTCTAGTGGGGTCAGCTGGTGCATGCCTGAGGATGAGTCTGTATGGATGGGCTGATGAGGTTAGGTCACCTCAGCAAGGCCTTTGTCCACGGAAGGAGGCAGCTTTCTGGCAAAAGTCCTGGAGAAATTCCAGGGACGCAAGCTGCCCAGTTTGGAGTCAGACGGAGGCTTGGGCTTTGAATCCTACTGGCTGTGGAAAGGAGTTAACCTGTCGCAGACCATGTGCTTACTACACACCAGGCGCCGTGCTATGCGCTTGGCATGATTAACTCATGTCATCCACGCACAGACCCTGTGGAGAAAGGCCCCCAGGATCACAAAGCTTGGAAGGGGTACTGATTCCAGCACCAGAACTCTGAACTCGTAATCACTGCATGAGAACAGCTCAGCTGGTAAGTGGGAGGACAGAAGGACCCAGCCTCCAAGGGGAATGTCCTGAAGTTCAGATGAGACCATCTACACGCAGCTTTAAGAAGCGGTCAGTTATCAATCTTCTTCTGATAAGCCCGCTGTTAAGATTGGTCGATTCAGTGCTTTGGGGCACACTCCTGCTACCAAGTCCTCCTTTCTTATAGGTTCTGTTCTCAGCTGGTTTCAGTCTTACGAAGATATTCTCCGAAAGCGCTTCTGGCTGCACCATCACTCCTTCCCCGGGCTGTTACAAGAGGCATCTCCCCTTAAGAATAGGGGCCAAGGGAGCCTCACAGGGATCAAACACAGATGAAGAGAGAGTAGCCGTGGCAGAATTCCAGTGTCTAAACAAGGCCAGCAGAGTCCTTCTGGGGAGCTGCCCGCGGGGTCTGTCCACCCTACAGCTGGCCTGTTCCTACAACCGACCGCCTTCCCCCCACACAGACTGCAACCAGCCTTCCTCACTGGTCTCTCCACTTCAGTCCTGTGTCCTCAGCTGTGGCCAGGCTGCACAGCGCAGGGCACATTCCCTCCTCCACCTGCCCCATGACAAGGGCTCTGCCTTGCCCGCCTCACCTCAGGTTCCAGATCACGGCTCTCCCCAGTCCCCTACCCAGCTCTCCGCTGTGTGCCCGGCCCTTTCCATTCAGGATTCAGGACATGCTCTCCTAGGTCCGACAACCCTAAGGAGGGGCTCTATCTACACCGGTGAAGAAAAAATACAAGAGGGTCACCCCTAAGGAATTGAGAACGCCCTTCTCAAAATACAGCCTGAATCCATTCCAGACAGAACAAGTTTTAGTCACAAGATGAGAAATCATCAAAATTGCTGGCAGCTATTGAATTCTGTGTCTTGCTCTCTGATAGAATAAATTACATTCTTCTGCCCTCTACCGGTAAAGAACAGCACCAGCCCTCCCTGGGCCTTCAGCAAGGAAGCAAACAAAAGACGATGACTCACAAGGCATCCTTCCCTTTCTTGGAGACACACTGGATGGGACTTATGATATTCGCTTGTGTGTGTGTGTGTGTGTGTGTGTGTGTGTATGGGGGGATGCCATAAGCAAGATGCCCAGCTGGACCAGGAATGCGCCCATCTGCCTTCTGCTTCAAAACTGCCAGTGAGCCTAGAACCACAGGTGATGTTGCTTCACACGGCGCCCCGACGGGTGAAGAAAGATGCAGACCAGACAGGACCACAGGCAGGACTCCAGGCTGAGGGAACAGCCCGATGCAAAGGAACAGCACACCAATGGGGACCACGAATGAACTGGCTAAGCCCCTCGAGCCCCTTGTCCACCAGGCACAGAGAAAAGATACTATTTAATTCCCAGGAGGTTGCATGGTGGAGGGAACTGTGAAGTGGAAATGCCCACATGCTTGCTCAGGAGACCTGGGTTTTATACAGATATGCCCCTTGGACTGGGTACATCCCTGTCCCTCTCTAGGCCTGTTTCCTCGTCTGTACAAGGGAAGGGGTGGAAGAGAATGAGCTGAGGTTCTTGGCTCAGAGATTCTGGTAACACACAGGCCTTGATCCAAGGGGGCCACTGCTGAAAACAGTGAGGGGCAGGATATACTGCCTGGCCACCTGGTCTCTCCTTCCAAGCAGCCTTCCCCATTGCACGGGGGGTGCACCCCCTTCCCTTACCTGCTTTTGTGATTCCTATCTCGTGCTGCCTTTGGCACAGTGGCGGAAGCTGGCTTGTTTTTGTCCACACAATCAAGATGGCAGCCGACTCCCACCACGTGATGTTTCTCTGACCAGGCCACCCCTCGTCCAGCTCATTAGGAGTAGGGTACAAAGGGTCACCAACTGCCACAAGACAGCAGCATCCAATCATCTCCTGAACAGAGCCAGCACTTTAAAAGAATAAGTAAACAAGGCTGCATTTGATTCTTTTCTCCCCCCCACCCCACCACCACTTGCAGATTTGTAACATCATTAGCTACAAGTAAATATATCAGTGGGATTAATGGAGTGAATCACAGAGTGGCTTGATTGGATTTAAAACCACATTATTTCTTTGGGGTGAATTAGTAAATTTAAGCACTGTCAAGAGATGATGGATTGAGAAGCCAGGGACTGAGCTCTTATTGATCCTGAGAAAAGATTGGTATGAGGAGAAGCTGGGATGGCTTCCCGCACTCCGTTCTCAGAGAGGAAGGAAACACAGCTTCTACGCTCACTGAACTGTACATAGAAACAGAGCGTTCTGTTTGGGGCTCACAGCTGACGTGTGACCACATATCGGGGGCAGTGTCTCAGATGGTCTCCAGGAATCCCACGCCCTGGTATTCACGCCCTGAGTGCAGACCGGAACAGGTGGCTTGCTTTCGACACCCAGGATGCAGCGGAAGAGCAATGATATGTCACTTCCGAGCCAAGGTTATCAACAGACCATGGCTCTTGTCTCGGGTGCTCTCTCTCACCCTCTCCTGGGTGGTTCGCTCCAGGGAAGCCCTGGTGAGGGAGCCTGGTCGAGAGGCCCAGGGATATGAGACTGAAAGTGGATCCTCCAAGACCTGCTGACAGCTTTGGGAGTGAACCTAGAGTCGAATCTCCTGCGGTTGAGCTTTGAGATGAGTGGACACCATGTCAACACCCTGACTACAACCTCATGAGGGACCCTGAATCGGAACCACCCAGTCAAGCTCCTCCTGGACTCCAAACCCACAGAAATAACCTGTGATATAATAAACAACACCCCAGTGTTGTTTTCAGTCACTAAATGTGGGGTAATTTGTTGCACAGCAAGAGAAGACTGAGAGACCACATGACTTTTGCTTTGGCCACGGAAACGTGAGGAGAAGCTTCGAGAGCCAGTGTGCAACTCGCTACGGACTGGTCTCCTGCCTTGGCAACTGCGCAGGCCGGGGTCAGATGAAGCTTCCGTGACCTGCTTCCCGGAGCGACCGTGAGGAGCCAAGCCTTACCCTCCCTAACACTGCCATCCTGCACTGGATACGTAGCACGCCCAAGAAGGAAACTTTGGTTGTATAAAATCACTTAAGATTTGGGAACTGTGTGTGACGATGGCACAACCTAGCCTATATTAACCAGGCCACTGGTGGATCAAAGTGTGCCTAGGGTCTGGGGGGCCCAGAGTCATTGGAGAAATATACTTGCTCTTCCTGCTAGGAACCAAGAAGTGTTGCTTGAAGTGGTACGGTACGCTTCTTCATAGAGGTCTCCACGACACTGCCTTGTAGAAGGGGGTTTCAAATACTCTGTCTCATCGACCCCATTTGTACATCTGCATTTCCAGAACACACTTAGAAAGTGGGGTTCTCATATAGGTTAATGGACTAACATTCAATGAGAAAATGCCAGGCACTCTACATCTATCCTCTCATTTAATTCTTACAGTAGCCCCACGAAGCAGATAGAATTATTGTTACCCTTAATTTACAGATGAGGAAGATCCAGATTTGAGGAGTAAAATCAACTACAGGGATTATTCAGCCTCCGGGTAGACACTGGTGGAACACCACTGGATCCCAGGCCATCTGAGCCAACACTCATGCTCTTTCCTTTGATCTCTGGTGGGCCAGCAGCTTGAGGTCCACGCACTGAGGCTGCGCCTCAGTAGGAGGGTTTTAGAACCCAAAGGCTGAAGGGCTCCCTTATGATGGAGGACATGCTCGGGGATGGCGGTCAGAAGTCGAGATATACTCCTTACTTGTGTCAATGAAGACTGCATCCACGTAGATTTTGGTACAGAAAGAGCCTAGGATAAATCCACAGGCTGGTCCAAATACCAGCATCGTGAAAAGGATTCCTGAAAGAAGAAGATAAAACAGAGATTAGATTAAAAAAAAAAACAACAAAAAACAGAAGCCATTCAATGAGCAAAAGAGTCAAAGATCCCTGGTTTATACAAATGACATTAGAGGAACTAGTCAAAAAATCCTAGAGGGGGAAAGCTAGTACTGAAGCACTGTTATGCAGAAATTCCATAGTTTTTTGGAGGTTGCTCTGAAATATTGGTGGGCCCTGAGTGTACTTCCTTTTAGAGTACTCCATCCCACACCATATCCACCATATTAAAACACACCCACGTCTGTCATTAAATGGTTTCTATCATAAACATTTTTGAAACGATTTTTATAATTTTTCTTTCACATTTATTTGGCTTTATGTAATTCATTTAATTTATGGTTGGCTAAGATTTCTCAGCACTCATTGTACAAATTCAGGAATTGTTGTGAAGGGAAAAAAGTCAAAGCCACAAATTATTTTCAAATGTAATGAAATGTTTACGAGCATTAAATTTAGCAAAAAACGGAGTTGACATAATGGTATGCTTTGAGAACATTTAATTAGATGTTTTATTAATTTGAATTTTGCAGATCTCCCCCCCCCTTTTTCTTGGAGTTGCTATCTATTGTTTTAATAGTTGCTCAAGACTCAACCTTTTCCACAGGACTTGAGAAGATGGTACTAGGCATGAACTTAAGCATCTGATGGATATAATACCTGGGACTTCACACAAACCCTTTTATTCATTCTGGGAAAAGTACCAAGCCCAAACTGAAACCCACAGGCTATATCTATTTAACTAAATTTCAGTTTGGTAGAATGTTCCCTGAGCAAGGACAGTTCTCAAGGCCCTGGGAATAAAAATAGGAGTGAAGAAGTGGCCCTTCCTACAAGAGGCTGGCTACCTGTGGGGACAAGCGGTATATAGGTTGATCCAACCCAAGCAGATAGCCCAAAAGAGGGGCGCTAACGGATCCATGAGGGCACATGAAGAGCAAGGCTGGAGATGAATTCAAACAAAGGGAATTTGAGCTCGGTGGAGGGTACTTCTGGTCTGTCTGCTCACAGGTGTAGACTAACTCATTCTGATTTCCCTCGATGATGTCATCATGGAACCATTCAAATATTCATTCAGTCAATCAATATTTATTGAGCTCCTTCTATGTGCCAGGCAGTAGTCTCAGGAATGGAGATTCAGCACTGAGCCAAATAATTAAGAATCCTAGCCTTCCAGAGCTCACTGACTTGGAGGTCGGGAGAAAACACAAACTATGAACAGGAACTCAACTGGTTTATAAATACTCGGCAAAGGCAGCCATATCTTCCAGATTTATAGACAGAAACCCAGACCCAAAGCAATCATTGAGGACAGTTTATAAGGAATGTTGTTTGATAAAGGGAGGAATGAAAAGAGGATGGTTTATATCATGGAAATGGGGCCGACTCCACTCTCAGTGAAATCCTACTCTGTGATTTGGAGCAATCTAGAAGTTTTAGAGTCTCAAAGTACCTGCTCCCATAGCTGGCCAGAGACCCCCAATCTCACAGTTATTCTTGTTTCTAAGAATCTTGAGAAGAGCAATATCCATTTTATGAATACACGGACTCCAGTTTGTCACAACTTAGATTAAGATAACCCAACAGAGGAAGTTGAGTAAGTTGGGGGTATTGGAAAATTCTAGAATATGGGGATCTTGCAGATATGGGCTAGAATTAGGGGGGTTGTCCTTAGCATGGTAGGGTCAGGGACCAGAGCTACTCTTGGCCCCATTCCCTGGGCGGAAAGCGAAGCAGAAAGAGATGCTGAGGAAGACCCAGGGGGCAGGGGTGGGGGCATGGACAAGCGGTGTCCAAGGCAAGAGCACTGCCCAACATAGCCTAAAGGGATTTCTGCTTCAGGGCAAAACTGTGAAGCCAGCCATATCCTCCTGTCCAGGCTGCAGGCTGAGGTGAGCCCCTGGTCAACCACAGGTACTCTAAAGATGGCTGAGCAGGCAACGTATCTGCTCAGGCAGTACCAGAGGAAAGGACAGAGAGGACAGGAACACAATTCTCCTGCCACGGGTGCTGCAACTACCCTGCTGACTCCTTGTTGATATTCAGCAGCTGCTCTAACCACCCGCCCCCACCTCCCCGGGCCCGGAACCCACACCACTCATAATAATATGCCTTCTTTCATGCCAATTAGATAAAACCCCCGATCAACATAATCATCACTGATGCGTGGCCTACAGATTACGTAATGCAAATTATACCTAATACTTAATAGGTCAAAGGACTAAGCTTTTAGTGTCCTTGGAAGAAACAACTGATGTGCTTGCTGAAGAGGTTGTGGAGATTGTCCTGTTACTCCCTCCCCCACCTGGGGACAGCAGACGTGTGTGGACAGGCCAGACGTCCTGGAACAGCTGGGGACCCCAGGTCCTGGGCCTCCTGCCCTTGTACAAGTTGTCACATGGAGGAAGGCGCATCCCTCAAGCTCGGCTTGCGGGGTCCCCAAAGGGCCCACACAGGCCAGCCGTCCAATCTGTCAGGTCAGGCAGGCATAGGCCTACCGCGGAGATGCCACGCACCAACGTGGCCTCTCCATCGGCCGAGAACACCTCCCACTCCGGTTCCTCTAGGAGAAGACAAGGGTTTCCCAGCCATTGGATTGTGGCTTTCCATTTTAACAAGATGGAGTTCTCCCCCAGCAGCAGAGAAACCTGATAGGGCCCAATTCCAAAAACCAATGAAAGATACAGAACACATGTATCTTTGTATGAAGGGCATTTTTCCCCCCTCAGCTGAAATCTCTGGTGGCATTTTATTTTTTTCTTTTATTTGAGAGAAGGGCAGAGGTAGAGAATCTCAAGCAGACTCACGGCTGAGCACAGAGCCTGATGCAGGGCTCAATCTCATGACCCATGAGATCACCACCTGAGCTGAAACCGAGAGTTGGATGTTCAACCACTTGAGCCACCCAGGCGCCCCTCTGGGGGCATTTTCCAAGCAGCTCCTCCTCAGAGTGATGTTAAAGAAACCTCTAGCAATAACAAGTTCTCGAATCTTTTCCAAGGAACAATCCAGTAGAGATGTGGGAAGGGGGTCTTCACGCATCAAGAAACACCCTTTTTCCACCTCAGCAGTATCTTAGGATAACAACTCGAATAAAGCAGCATGCAGAGCATAACCCTGGGTTTTTAGGGGAAGTTGTTTTCCTGCGAGGGTATGAGGCAGGCCACGATCTTACAGAAACATACTTTTGAATGCACTTCCTTGCTCTCCTTTCGATTCATCCTCCTAGGCTGTGAATTTATTCTTGTTTAATGAAACCACCCCACATGTTCTGCCCAAACAGACAGGAAAAAGATTGGCCAGCACTAAAATCTGCAATCTGGGCGTTGGACAGTGGAGTGCCTCCAGGACAGGGGAGGATGTGCTTTGTGGTTCAGTGCTGCCCCCTGCTGCCTGCCAGATTCACGAACATGGGAGGGGAGGGGCGAGGTGGCTGAGGAGAAGTTGAGACACAGGAAATAGTCAATACTAAAAATTATTTTTTTTAATTCATGTGCATTACTTTATCAGACATTTATTACGTAGTTTAAACCTAACCGCTTGATAAACAAAACTGCTATATATTTCTTTTAGACTCAGGGCTCTGTGAAAAATATAATTAAGATACTAAGGGCATGGGGAGCCTGCGTGGCTCAGTGGGTTGAGTGTCTGACTCTTGAGTTCGGCTCAGGTCATGATCTCGGGGTCCTGGGATCAAGCCTCACGTCTGGCTCCCTGCTCAGCTGGGAGCCTGCTTCTCCCTCTGCCCCTCCCCGCACTCATTCTCTGTCTCTCTTGATAATAATAAATTTAAAAAAAAAAAAGAAAGCAGCAGCAACTTGCTGCCCTACTGGAGAGACTTTCAACCATTCTTAGTCACTCAAAATACATAATGGCAACTACTAGGGGACAGGCACTGTGCAAGCCGCTGAGACACAGCAGTGAACAAAACAGACAAAATCTCTGCTTTTCTGTGGAGTCTGTGTTATGGAAGAAGGGCCATAAACAAACCAACCTACCATGCCGTAGTCAGGAGTAGTGCCAAAGAGGAGAGTGCGCAATGGCGCAGGGCTACAAAGACCTCGCGTGGCACCGAGTCCTCGATGGAGTGCCCAGCACCGGGTCAGCTGGGCTACTGAGCTGGGGCCACTGTGTGGGAGGCAGACTAATGGCCCCCAAAGATGTACCTGTCCTAATCTCTAGAACCTGCGCCTGAAGCTTAAATGACAAAAGAGAATTAAAGCTAATATGGAATTAAGGTGGCTGATCAGTTGACTTAAAGAGATTACACTGATTATCCCCAAGGACCCAATCAACAAGATTCCTGTAAATGTGGAAGGAGAAATAAGAGAGTTGGAGAAGGAGGTAAGACGACTCGACCAGAGACATGGCCTCCTGAGAAGGAGGTGACCAGCCACCGCTGGCTCTGACGATGGAGGATGAGGTCATGAGCCCAGGAACGAGGACCACCTCTTGAAGCTGGAAAAGGCAAGAAAATGGATTCCCCCTTCCAGAGAGGATCCTCCAGAGGACAATAGCCCTGCTGACACCTTGATTTGAGCTCAGTGAAACCCACTGCGGGCTTCTGACCTCTAGAACCATAAGATCATAAATTTGTGTTATTTTAGGCCACTAAGTTTGTGGCAACTCATTATGGCAGCAATAGGAAATTAATGTAATTGCTAATCAAATTTGAGTCAATTCTCAGATCTCACAACCATGAATATCTATGTGACTAAGAACAGGACATTGCATGAAGTCGTTTGTTAATTACTTGACCACGGAGCATTTTTTGTGGGACATTTTTCAGTGCTGGTGTTGACTGTGGCACAGTCACAGAGAAGCTGGAGGAGAGTCCAAGCTCTATGAGACAGAGAAGGTGTTTTATTCTTCTCTCCATTCCTAGTTTGGTCCAGCATAACGAAAAGTTAGTTCACCGGCTTATTGAAAGGGTGCAGGAAAGCAAACACTAGTTCAGCATTG